CTCTCTCTCTCTCGCCCAGCGGGCGATAAGAAACTTACGAATGGCAAAACGAAACGTTCGGTTATTTTTGTGCGGTACATCATGTACTCTTTGTCTTCTCCGAATTCGGTCTTACAACATATTGTAAGTTTCTTCTTGGCAGACTTACGAGATAACTATGATACACTGTGATTACAGTTTAGTCACAGCTCAACTGTGACGCATTTCAGTTTAACTGTGACATATTCCAGTTTATCAATGTACTTACTAAGCACACGTTTCATTCTCCTGTATCTGTAAGTCACTAAACTTGGCTAATTTTGGCCAATCTTCTTAGACTATTCATAATATCCGTGAGATTATCTTTCCTAATGCACAAAATGTTTCCAGACAAGTGGAATGGACTCTCTCTATGTGATTCATTTAGTATCTCTTACTTTTTTTAACGCATTATACAATAAATCATGCTACATCGTATTATGCCACAATACTACACTGTTCGTTTCATTAAAGAAAGTTTATGCTTCCTTTGTTTTATCGATACACTCTGTCGACATAGCTTACTTAGTTTTCAATCACACCATATTTAAGTTTCACATACTATACACGTGTCACAGACAGACCTATGGGTGCCCACCATACATTTTTTTTAAAAGCACTCTTATTGTTGTATCCATTCCTTAGCAATAAGCTCAATCTATGTCTCTTCCGATAACGAGAGAATAAATCTTTTTTTACATATAGAAGGGGCATGAAATAATAATAGCAATTAAAAATCACAAATGTTTTTGTTGTTTTCAAGTTTGCCTACTATGACAATCGTTGTCGTTTTGGGGAAGGACTTAATTCTGAATCTTCGTCCTCCTCATCCGAATCTCCTTCATAATCGACTAATCCCTAGAAATTAAATAAAATTTATATAAATTTTAATTTTATAAAATCTAGAAATCAACATAAAATCATTTATTGGTACAAATTGCAATTTAAAATCCAATTAATTACTACAAGGATTTCAATATCAATAATTTTTAATTGCATATAAAAACTGTGCGACTATTATATATTTTGTTTTACCTTTTTAAACAGTGCCGTTCCCGTTTTTTCCACAGTACCAATAGCTGGAGAAGGATTTATTTCCGAAGCAATTGGCGATTCATTCGTTGTTGATGAGCTGTTATTGATCTGTGGTTGTTGTGAGGTAATATTATTATTAGCAGTATTGTTATTTAATACAGACTGCTGTTGCTGTTGTTGCTGATGACTTTTAGAATCTATAATAATAGGATTAAAATTTGAATGATTTTCGATGAAGAATTTTAATAGAAATTAGAAATATAAGGTCTTATTATATTATTATTGGCTCACCTTCGTCAAATTCTTCTTCTTCATTAAACCATAGTTCCTCTTCCTCGTCTAGCTGTCTCTGGTCCCTTCGATATCGACTGTTTCGTAAGATTGATGGGACACTACATATAAATAATTTTATTAAATTATAAAAATATATTTTTATGAAAATGATTACGTTGTCAGTTCAGTAGTAATTTATTATATAATATGTTCCATATAATTGTGTTTTTTATCTTCTTTTCATTATAAATATAAAAAATATATCAATATATACCTGTCAATTGTAGCTCTATCACGATCTTTCAACTTGTCTTGATGTTGTTCATACCTTAATTTTAATGCTTTAAATGTTTGTACATAATCAATTGTTTCCAATTCCTTTGAGAAGTTTTCAACAACATGTGAACATAGTGATTTAATATCCTCCTGAAACACAATAAAAGATATATAAATTATAGTAATATTATAAATTCTTTCTATTATATTGTTTACTAAACAAAGCAAAAACAATCATTACTTACCAATTTGATAAATTCAAACATTTCCAATATAGCCGAATCTAAGAGATTGTATCTGCCATTGTTTCTTACAAATGCATCAAATACAGGTGCAAATAAATTGCCCTTAATTATATACCTATTATAAAACTCATCCTTTAATGCTATAATCTTTCTCATAAACCTTAATGCACATAGTACTAGAAATGTGTGTGTTGATTTCATTAAAACCAATATTCTTCTAAGTAAATCTTTATTCAATATGCAATTTTTGATGTGATACGTATGGTGCTCCACACAGAATGATAACAATTCCAAGATTAATCCCAAAAGTTGTACTGTTCTGTAATCCTCTCTCGCAGGTCGTTCTCCAATTGTATTTGCCAGAAGAGGGGCTATTAGAGTACCGATACTATTCTTGTAGAAATAATTTAAGAAATCAGTCTTTTCTGATTTATTAACAGAAGCCAACATATTTTCTGGGTCCAAAAGTAAACGTAGTACACCAGCCAACTGCACCGCTCCACCCAACTCAGGATCACTATCTCCAACAAGTTGAGCAACTATTACATTCACTAACATTTGGTCCTGTTCCGTGTTGTTTATCTGTTGTAATGTATAATCTCGTACAACACTTGGAGAGTATTCCACGATATAAGTCAAAATATCTATACTAGCTGTTTTTGTTTGTGCATCATTCATTGCCAAAGTAATTTCTAAAGCAGGGAGTATACCAAGTGCTGTTAATGTTTTATAAAACGCTTCTTTTCCTTGTGGCTGAAGATTTTGCGAAAAGTTGCAAAATTCTTTTAAAAAAAGGACTAAATCGCGTCTTTTGCTATCTAAAGTCGCTTCGTCCGTTAACTGACGAAAAAGTTCAGTAAGAAATTTTTCATCATCCTGTATCAAAGTTACTATTTCAACTTTATTGAAGAATATAAAACTACTCAATGTACTCAACATGTTGTCCTCAAATACACTCGGAGTTGGCAGCACTACGTCTTGAATGTATTGAACTCTGTATGTTTGATGGATTTTAGCTAATAGTTCGGTATTTGTAATAGGAATTGCTTGTTTAAATCTGGCTAACTCTTTAAGATAGTCTCTATGCTTCTTTGGCTGAGATAACGTTGGCTCGTACTCCAGGCAGCCAACAACATCGAAAATTGTATCATCGCTGAACATAACTTCAAACAATGCATTTTTATTGAGTAAAAAAATATTTTTGAATATATCGTAAAGATGATGTAAACCCTCAATATTTTCTAAATCCTCGCATGTATGAAAAAGACTTAGCAATTTCTTAATGTAACCTTCGGATTCTAGTGCCACTGCTAATTTCTCTTTTCTCATTGGGGACGTTAAACAATTTTCTATGAGCTCGTTAATATCTTCCAATCGACTAAGTTCACAGGGAGGTAATTCGATAGGCGGTGCTGCATCTGACATATCATCAAACCGCTCATCTTCAGATTCTTCCACAATGTCTTGTGTAATTTCTACAGATGGATCTTTGCCTTGAACCTGACAAATCTTCTCCCATATTTCGTCACAGCCAGCTTTTTCTTGAAAACTTAAGGCTAAGTCGAAATTATCTCCTTCAGACCATACTATCAAAGTATCCTAAAATCATACATATATTTATTTATATATTACACACACACACACACACACACACACACACACACACACACACACACATATACACACACATATATATATACACACACATTGTCACGTATAAATTATAATTTATTTATAATACATTAATATGTATAATATAAAAAATATTGATTTTTTTTAATAATACAAAAACACATTTTATAATTAGAAAATATGCAACATTAAAAAAATTTGATTAAAAAAATTTTTATAATGAATAAATTATATACACTCATCTATTCATCTAGTTTTCACAAATTAGATTAGAAAATTTTATATGCAAGACTAAAAATAGTAGCATGATATTTAATTATCAATACTGATTATGCTTGAAAGTAGAGCTCTCTCTCTCTCTCTCTCTCTCTCTCTCTCTCTCTCTCTCTCTCTCTCTTGTAAGAATCATAAGAAAAGCAAATTCATAAAAATCTTTTAATACCTGTTGTTTCTGATATGCTGTATCAGGTTGTATTTTACTCTCAAGTAGAAGAGATCCATCGCTTTCCGCTCTTACCAACAGGGAAATCCCCTTTAATCTCTCTACATAAGAAGAGGAAACATGACCTGTACCACGATCATCCCATTGCCTATCTGCATTAAGAGCATATAGTTTTACTCTTCTACGTGTATCCGTCATATTGTAAACCTAATTAGTGCACTATCTGTATCACCAATTCTTCTGCATGCCTTTTTAAATTCAATCTTTGGTTTTCTCAGCAGTTATCTCTACGAGATAATTTTCAGATACCTGTTGGAACAATGTATGGACAGAAACCTAGATATGTTAGACTTCCGCATGCCCTTTAAGATTTATTGGTATTGCATTATACATATAATAAACAAGATGTTTGGTAATGCATTAGTGTCTTTCTCTCTACTGAAAGACACTGCATGAAAAGCCACGTTCAGCATCCACGACTCTTAGATGAATAATCTCGTGTGATGGATAATGAGCACAAGTTATACTCTAGTCGGTTCCTAATTGGATCAGCCGATGATCATATGCATGCTCGTTGAAACAGTGAACTTGAATAGCACGAATAATGGATGCTTGTCATGGATGAACGTGGAGAGTTTCTTCTGAAGCCTTTTTTTCTCACTGCGTCCACGAGTCGCGTCAACGCGACGTTTACCAGACAGACCGTAGGCGCGATCCCTCGAAGAAGAGCTTGATCCAGCAGGCAGATCGTGCGCGGGAAAAGATCGCGTGTCTGCGACACTCTCACGTGTCGCAGCGGCCACGACGTATCGAGATGTACGCGACAGTTTAGACTCGTCGTCCCGACCGGCACGACGACAAGACTCTCCAGCTTGGATACCGATACTTTTGGTTAGTGAACGTTGCGCATGTGAATTTTTCTACTCCGCTGTGTACAATTCCTCTTCCCGCGACGACAGCGGCGGCGGCGGCGGCGGCGGCGGCGGTGGCGGCGG